AACGAAGACCCTCTGAATTTGCAATTATTTTTTCGCGGATCGCGGCGGCGTCGAAACGAACGCGTGGAAAGTATCGTGACATCCTCCCGAGAATGAGAAATCGCGTTAATACCTTCCTCTTATCGCGGAAGCGATAACGTACGGTCTAGTCGATGTTACACGATTCTTTCCTACGTTTTCTTTCCCTCTTTCGTGTCTGCGATTATCGCATCGATCTTCCGATACGTGCGTACACACCGCATAAATTTCGCTTTGAACGGACGATTTATGACGCAAAGCGCAGCCGTGAATCGGAGAAAGGCAAACATTTCTTTCGGTACGAATTGTACGATTTTATTGGAAGACGTTAACGCTCCTCTCTATGGTTATTGTAGAAACGGTCGGACGGTATTCAATCGATGGGGTCTAAATTTAAATTTAAACACACGTTTTCACTTGCCTCCGAGGTGACGTCTTTCACGTTGTAACGCGAGAGTTTTGCATGTTTCCTGACCCCATTCTCCCCTCGTTCTTCGCAACTGTTATTTTACACTAAAAAGTTTTGTTCCACTTATTGTTAGTGGCCGGCGATCGTTCGAGTCGCCATCCCACGAAGCTTTCGTTTTCTGTAACGTATGAGAGAAATGAAAAATTGGTTTAAAAAGTCTTGCTAATACAGATGGCTGGGATCACCTCGGAGGAATTTTTATAACTTCAACGCTTCTAGCAAGCTGTCTATGCAAATAAAAAGATTCAAATTAAAAAGTTCCCTTGTTGCTTTAATTTAATCAGGATGATGGCGTAGCCAATCTGCTACTCGTGAACGTTTCAGGGTAACAATGGAGATTCGAATCGAATTCGCGTGTTTCGAAGTGTTCGAACGTGTTTACGCGATCAAAAATCCCGACCAATCTCTCTGCACTTGGTGTTTCAATTCTTTCCTGATTAACTTACACGTCGCGTTTCACCGCTTGATCCTTATGATAATTAACTTTAATTAACGGTAATCTCATTACCGTTGTTTCCAACCGTACGAAGTCTCACGTGTACACATTGTTGGATTTTCTCTTGCCGGTCGTTCCCGGCTCCACGTTCTCCTTACTTTTTTTTTTTTTTTTTTTTTTTTCAAATATTTTCAACGATGAAAGTTCCACTCGGCGAGGTAACCGAATTCTCGACAGCGAAGGAACGTCGTTTCCTTGAAATTCAGAAACTTTCAGCA